GGGTGATAAATTGTTCCTCTCGAGTGGCAAGAATAGGATAGTGGTCAAGTTTTGAGGCAACAACATATTCTTTGACTCCTTTTGGTCTGTGTTGGACTAAGGAACGAATTTGGGTCCAGGGTAAAAATGATTTTTTGGCAAAAGCTGAGTAAGAGTTTATGAAGGATAGTTTAGTGGAGGATACTTTCTGTTCGTCGGGTAGGATATCTACTTCATAGAGGTAATCATATTTTTTGGACAAGGTTTTATATAGAGTAGGGGACATATTCATTTTTGCAAGGAAAGAGGATGATGGAAATAACTCAGATATATTGGTAAACTGTTCCTCCCTCCGAAAGGATGGGGTGGCTCTGATACCACAGTATAAGGAACAGAGCAAGAGACTCCAAGAATGCAAACTAAACCATAGATATGAAAGTTTCCCTACAAAGGGGCTGACTTCAACAACCCATAAGGGACGACTTGCCAAGATAAACTAACAGTTAATTTGCTTATAGTCGCAAAAGTTTTCCTACAAAAGGGCTAGCTTCAACAACCCATAAGGGACGGCTTTCCAAGCTGCACAACTCATAAAATTTTTGTACTATAACCAATGTTAGCTGTTATAACTCAGAAAACTTTCGTACTACAATAAGCTAACTTTCTTAAAGTATTCTTACTCTATTTTCATACATGGACCGGCCTTTCTATCCGTTCGAAAGAAAGAACAAGAGGGAAATTTAGAAAGAACTCATATGTAATATATCACAAAGATTTACAAAGGTTACCAGATAAACCATAATAGTTCTTGGGAAAAATCTTTGGCTTGTGCTATGAATATATGGCAGAATGGATATTCTGGGTTGACTCAATAAGGCTTAAGAATCGATCCTCCATGTTTCTAGAACTTGGAGCTCATAATAAGTTCTTTTTTCCCTTATAATTGATGGATCAAAGGGATCCATGAGGTTGAACAATTCTGGTGGATGATCTATTGGTTTCAATGAACTTGTTCCTGGTATATTTGAAAACATAAAGATGTGACTGATTAACTTTTGCTTTAACAACATCTTCGCTGGGGAAAATCTCTTTGAGAATTCTTCCGATCGAGACAGAAAATCTGCGAGAATATCCTTTACTTTAAGGTGCTTGATTTGAAACTTGTATGGAGAGAACCATTGAGCCCATCTAAGAATCTGAGGATTGGGAATAATTTTTGCAACTATCTGGATCATCTTTGGGAAGACCTTCATATCAATCTCTATCAGAAATTCTGTATAAATCAGGAAAACAATGAATTTCTTGATTCCATTCTTTACTGCAAGAATTTCCTTAAAAGTGGAATGATAATGTCGCCCGACATCTTTGAAATTTCCTCTGGCATATCCGTATATTTTCTTCTGGACATCTTTTCTTCAAATAGAACGACACTCAAATATTCATTGCTAGCATCAGTTTGTAGTATCTTCTTACCTTTTGAAGGGATGTAGATGGACTTGACATTTTTGGATATCTCTTTTATTTCCCTGACTGCTTCATCTTGTTTCTTTCCCCATGATGGAGCATTTTTCTTGAGCATCTCTGTGAGCGAAGAAATGTATGTAGAGATATTTGGGATGAAATCTCTTACATAATTTACTACACCCAAGAACTGTTGGATCTGCTTTGTTGTGAGACTGGTATCTAGAAATTTGAGTAGTTCCTTGAATATATGTGGTCGTGGACTGTATGCACCTTGGACAAAATGCATTCCGAGAAAATCAATCTCTTTTTGAGCAAGAACCATTTTTTTGCTGAAAGCATGATCTCATACTTGTTACCAATGCGTCAAATTGATGAAGCAAGTTAACATGTTCCTCTAATATATCACTAAATAATCGGATGTCATCAATATACACTAAAGAGGTATGGAGAATGGGCTGGAATATTTTTATCATGGCTTTTTGGAACAAGGAAGGTGCAGTTTTTAATGTGAAGGGAATGACTTTCCATTGGAAGTGATGATCAGGGATGCAAAATCCTGTTTTGGCTCTTTCTTCGGGGTGGATTCCCAATTGCCAAAATCCAGATTTAAGATCGAACTTGGAAAAATATTTTGTGTTAGCTAAGTGGGAGAAAAGAGTGAATTTATTTGGGATATGAAATTTATCATCATGGAGGAAATGGTTAAGTGGCTGGTAGTTAATAACTAACATGAGTTTTCCTTTTGTTTGCTCAGCTCTTTTGTTGACATAAAATGCTTCGCAGGCCCATTGCGAATCCGATGGCTCTATCAGATCAAATTCCAAAAGTTCTTCACATTCTTTCTTTGCAAGATGAAGATGATCTGGATTCATGCCTGAATGACTGGCTTTTGTTGGATTGATGTTTTCATTCTTCTTAAAAGGGAGCTTGATAAAAAAACTCTCCATTCTTCCATAACGGGCTTTTCCCTTTCTTCATAAAATCCTTGTGGGATTCATCACATGAATGCTCAATGGGATTTTGTTCAATCTCCTTGATTTGTTCGTCGTTGGTGATTTGGAATAACCTTAGAATTTCAGAATTATGTTTGTACTGCTTCTTAAATGTTATCCCACTAGCCCTAATCTGGAGTTGATCTTTTAGTTGTCTGAAAATGTTGAATCCAACAATAAGATCTTTCCCTGGTACATCCAACCCTATCAGCTTGGTTTTGTACTTCAATCCTAGAAAGAACTCAATTGTTACTGGGTGCTTTATAATGATGGTGATAGTTAAGATTCCATTTGATGCAGTGTTGAAATCCTTAAAGTGCGGAACCCATTGATCTTCCAGGAGAACAACAGGATCCATGAGTGAACAAGCAGCTCCAGTGTCAATGAAAGCAATGACTCAAGTTGGTTTATCCCATTTGGATGAATAAACCTTGAGTTCCACTTGAGGGATGACTGTGATAGCATTGATCTCTTCCTGGACTTTAGCGGCTAATTCGAAAGTTGATAATGGTCATCACCATGATCGTCGTATATATCAAGAGAGAATAGGGTTTCTTCTGTAGATTCATTGTCCATAGAGAATATGGACCCGAGGTCTTCTTCTTTTCCGAGATGTATGCCAGTGTAATCTTCAATTTCTTGCAAGAGCTTGATAGATTTCCTCGAATGGGGACAATTTCTTGTGAAATGTCCAATCTTGTGGCAAATAAAGCATCTGTTCTTTTTGTGAAAATTTCTTGGTCTCCTTCGTCTGAAATATTTTGTGCACCTCCTGGATATTGATTTCCCATCTGGAATTATTGGCCAACTGAACCTCCTGAATCCTCTCTATCGCCTAGATGTGTGGCAGGAACATCCTGATCCGGTGATCAGATCAGATTTGCGACATGCTTTGTCAAGCGATGGGTTGTGTTGGATAATTTATTTTAGGGCAGAGCGCTTCGTACAAATGTCATCCAATGCGACGAAAATAGCTTGCCTGATGTAGCCAACTTGTGGGATTGTTATGGACTGAAACTTTTCTTCAATGATGGTCATGGTTCGGCTTGCCAACAACTTTGGAAGGGAAGAAACAAAGGCTTGCTTCAGATTGATGTCTCCACCGATCTCGAAGTATATCTTCGCTATTTTTTTAAAATTTTTGTCAATGTCATTTCTGTCGAATGACACACACTTCATCTCGAAGAGTTGCCTTCGTATCTTTTCTTGTCTTTGGCCAGTATCTCAACAGAAAACTTCATGTAGGATTCTGATGCTGAAGGCAAAGTCTTGGGAAGTAAGAAAAGTGTTTTTGTCTTGAATTCCAAGTGAGTTCCACCAATCTATGAGGATTCCTGAGAACCGTGAAGTGAGTTTTGACAGGATGATATACTTTTCTCGTTCCACCAAATTTTTGGTCACCATCCAAGTATAGAAGTCTTGGATCCTCTAAGGCTATTTTGAAACCTTGATGTCATCTAATGTGAAAGTGTGGAAACCAGTTCCAACTAGATTTGACGTCATGTGCTCATATCTTTTTTCTGGGATTCGTTCATCTGTCATGCCTTCTTGTTCCTCATCTACTTCGGATATTTCTGGGTCTCATGGCTGGTTTACAAATATTGGGGGATCATCATCCTCGGAAGAGTTTGATGTTGATTCAACGTTTATATTGCTTATAGAATGATGCTAACAATAAAGAGATTTAATGGATAAGAAGAATTCGATTATATTAGAAGTCGTCGATTTATGCCAAAAATTATTAAAGCATCTCAAAAAATTATTGGGAATTACTCTTGACATAATATATATATATATTAAAAAAAATTATAGCCTCAACAAGGTTTGGCTTTATATGTATAGGCTTGAACTGTAATCAGCAGAAATTCAGATTGGGACAACTAAGCATCAACAGCGAGTGTTTCACATGCATCCACGCAAAGTGAAAAAAACATGCATGACGTAACTCTCTTCTTCTCCTAGCAGAACTCAGAGCTTACCTCCAACACTTTCCGCAATTCCATAACGGCCTTATAACCTCAGACCTGAATCACTCCCTCCATCACTCCATTGCTTATCCCTCCAAATTCACCCCTTGGAAAAAGCCACCTTTGGAAGCAGAGCCAAATTTAAAGTTTACGGATTTTAAATTTTAATATTTTTTAAGTTATTTAATTTTAAATTAATAATTTATAAATATTTAATAGATTCCTTAAAATAAATATAAATATTGAATCGAAGTTTCTCGATTCCGCTGAACTGTTATCTTCAAGGGTAACTCTGTCCTGGCCCCTGCTTTCACCGCCATACTACACTATATACATATACATATATATATATATATCAATTGAAAAGATTAATATCGCTTGGCTCCACTGATACACATTCATGTGCTTAAACAATTGTCTCATAGGAATATTTGGTTTCGCTTAGTTACAACCAAAAAATAATAATAATTACATTTGAATTACTATATTACCCCCTTTATTATTTATCTAAATAATTTTTATTTTATTTTTTTGAAAACCCCCTACAAATATTCCAATCGCTACAAATAGTTGCACAAACTCACGCCTACAAGGAAAAGTCACTTAACGAAATGGTGGCAACTTTTGATATGAAGAAAGTATCTCTTTAAACTGCATCGAAGGGGTACAAGTGATTGAGACATAGATGATTATCATCTATCCACAATTAATCCCTTGCCCTTTTGGATGTGATTACAATTTGTGAATAAACATTACGCCTTGATCTACTACTACTGCTAGCTAGAAAAAAAAGTAACAGGTATAATGCTTTTTTGCTTTGTTTCTCTTCTTGTTTAAAAAAATATATATAAAAAAAATAAATTCTCATGCTAGAATAGTTTCATGTATCTTGCGATGGGAATCACTTCTTTTATACCTTAATACATGCTAGAAGAGTTATTATAATTCCATGTCTCTTCAACAAAAAAGGATTTGGTGAGTTGGGATGGGGCAGAAGCGGATCCAAGAGTTGAACTTTATGGGTTCAAATTTGAAATTCTACCACATCGTGTCTAATTCACAGGGTTCAAACTCTATTTTTTATATTTATTTAGTTAAACTTTTAATAAATATACAGAGCCTAAGCCAAAGCTACTGGGTTCATATGAATCCGTAACATCGGCTCCGCCCTTGGGATGGGTTGGAGATAGTTGAAGAAATTAAAGAAACGAAATCTTGATGTTAATAGTTGCAAAATTTATATATATCAACTCATGAAAAAACATAATAGAACATCAAGCTTCAAGTTTATTAATTAAGACTTAATTGTTTATATTCTAAATTGTGATTGCTGCAGTTTCATTTAGTTGATTCTACATGTGATGAGATAATGCCTGCAAATATTTCAGGAAAGCCTATTTTCGAAGCTTTTGCATAGATGGGGCATGTAGCATAACATTTATGATGTTGTTCATATAATGACAAGGTATGTTTCAGGGAGTATGTCCTAGAATAGTATTGTTGGTGATTTATTCTATGTTCTATTTTATAATTCCAGTATGTGAATTTTACATAGTTCATCTTTTTTTGGTTAATACATTTTCCATAATACAGTAACATCAACATGTGCATCTTAGATTTATTTTAATCAACTTTATTCTATGAACATTTAGTTGGGGATTTGCATCTATACCCGCTTTTTGGGTCACATTTTAACTTGTGCCTATTTTGGAAAAAAAATTGCAAGCGTACCCGCTTTTTCGCGTAACTTCAGCATACGGGGCTGAAGTAGTAAAGACAATCACGCAAAACTTCAATAGTCTAGTAGACGGGCCTGAAGTAGCAAGTGTGCTGAACCAAGTGTGCTGAAGTTTTTGTTTGTAATTGCTGAACTTAAGCATAGTAGCTGAAGTTTTGTTCTCCATTTGCTGAAGTTTTTGTTTGTAATTGCACTAAATAAGCTAAAGTTTTTTGTCCTGAATTCATTAGTTTTGTCATTAAGCTTTTTCAAAAACTTCAGCATAAGATGCTGAAGTTATTTAGTTCATTTATAAAAATTCTAGCACTAAATAAGCTAGAGTTTTTTGTCTTGGATAAGCTTTTTCAAAAACTTTAGCAGAGATGCTGAAGTTATTTAGTTCATTTATAAAAACTTCAGCACTAAATAAGCTGAAGTCTTTTTGTCCTGGATAAGCTTTTGCAAAAACTTCAGCAGAGATGCTGAAGTTATTTAGTTAATTTGTAAAAACTTCAGCTTATTTAGTGCTGAAGTTTTTATAAAAAGTGAAAGTTTTAAGACAACGCCGTCAAATTCTCAAGTCATTGCTGCGGAAAAGTTTGCAACCTTTCCTTGCTGAGCAACAGTTGACACATGGTTTAGTAATCCTTTGTCCAGTAGATGGGCAAACCATGTACACTACATCATGTTAATTCTATTAGACTACATCATGTTAATTCTATTAGGAGTTAATGCTTCACTTTTGTATAAATTAACTGGACAAAAAAGACTTTAATTTTTTGAGTACTACAAGAAAGAAAAAAAGGCGATGATTTGACATAAAAGAGAATTAAGACTTTACCAGACAAAAGGAGAAGAGCAAGAAAAGCAACTCGGTGAATAGCCAATTACTGTATCTATGAATATCTGTATTACTGTATATTCATAGCAGCACCAACAGCAGAAGGAGGAGGAGGAGGAGGAGGAGGAGGGAGAGGAAAAAGGGGGTTGAAGTTGTTTAAAAAATGGGTACAAGTTAAAACTTTTATAAAAATGGGTATAAGTTAAATAGGGGCGACCAAATAGGGCGCCCCGTGCAATTTTTACCATTTAGTTGCTTCGGAGTTCAAAACAAGCCTTTTTCGAATTCGTAATTACTTTGCTTTTTAAATATCCTTTTTCCGTTATTTAGCAGGCGTTTGGCCATAAGTTTTGGATTTTTTTTCAAAAATATTTAAAATATATTTTGTTTATAGAATTAATCTAGTGTTTGGGACTTTTTAAAATGTCAAAACTTGCCCCAAATTATGTCCAAACAAATTTTCAATTTCAAATCAAACTTCACCCAACTCAACTTTTTTTTTTAAATATTTGGGAATTTATGTCCAAACGGGTCCTTAGTTTTCTCGTCTCAACGCTAAGTACCTTTTGTAAGTTTTTCCGACAAAAAATTCCGATTAGTTGTGATCAACTCAGCCAGTAATCTTATTTATAGTAGGAGTGATCATTTGCTATAATGGGCTTGTGAACCTTTAGTACCTTTTGTTGGCTGAAGAAAAAAAATCCATTTAGATGTGTGCAAAACCAATGTTTTGATCTCTTGAATTCTTATATATTTTCACGAGTTTAATTATTTTTTGATAACCGGAAGTTTTATTAATACAGAAAATAACACTAAGATCTTACAGTTATATACAGTTAGTGTTATATACAGAAAATAACCGGATGTTATATACAGTTATCACCAGTATCTTAGTGTTATTTTAACACTAAGATACTGGTGATAACTGTATATAACATGAGTTACAAAAGCTCATTTTCCTTTTCTACTCATGTAAGGGACAGAGAAAATCTAATGGTGTGTCTATTTCATATACATTGTCCAACATACACCAATTAATTTGAATTTCTCCGCATAATATGTCAGCCATATCTATTTACAATTAGCTACTGAAACATTAGGTGTTTTGATTCATTGATTTAATGGATAAGAGGGTAAGCAAAAAAGTTTATATTTGGAGAAGGTGATTTGTTGTTCATGAGTTTTCACTTTTCTAGACAATTCTTAATGATGGATTGTATCTACTGTAACATGTTTTCTCACATGGTCAATTTTATGTTGCACTTTTAAGAGGGATATCAATATCGATAACAAGAGTCATGCTCATGACAGAGCAACCAAAACGGATAAAAGGAACATACAACAGGAATATCGTTTACAAGGAAGTACGTACCAAGTGGGATACGTTTCATTACATGTTTGTAATTCATAAAGTCGAAATAAATATAAAAAAACACATGTACCTAATTAAACTTTGATTGTTCTTTTATGTAGATTCAGACGATATCCACTCATCTTGACCTCGCCAAACAAGTTGCCATACAGCTATACACATTAAACTTTGATTGTTCTTTTCTAACTTGTATTCTTCAGTAGATATATTATATCATTGTTGCCTTTTTCTTTTCATTTCTATGACAAATTAAACATGATGCAGTTTGAAGAAATGACGGAGCCTTTGAGCCCAATTGGTGAAGTGGAAGAACCAGAGGAAGAAGAAAATGAAGAAGTTATCAGCTACGATGATCTCAAGAGGCGCATGTGGAAGGACCAGATGTTGTTGCAGAAGCTCAAGTCTATGCGAAGCAGCAGCAAAAAAGAGAGTATTGATGATGAGTCACAACAGGCAAAGGCGCAAGAACAATCTCGCAGGAAAAAGACGTCCAGAGCTCAAGATTCTATTCTCATGTACATGGTAAAAATCATGGAGGTGTGCGGAGGTCAAGGCTTTGTATTTGGGATAGTGCCAGAGAAGGGGAAGCTAGTAACTGGCTCTTCAGATAGCTTGCGAGGTTGGTGGAAGGAGAAAGTGAAGTTCGAGAAGAATGCCCCTATTGCCATTGCTGAATGCTTGCCCGGATTACTGGTGCAGCAGCAGGAGAATGATATATTGGATCCTTCCTCCTCATATATGCATCTTCTTGAAGAACTGCAAGACGCAACTTTGGGCTCACTACTTTCTGCCCTGATGCAACACTGTATCCCTCCACAGCGAACGTTTCCTTTGGAGAGAGGATTAAGCCCACCTTGGTGGCCCACAGGGAAGGAACTGTGGTGGCGTGACCAAGGATTGTTGGCCCTAGAACAAGGCCCACCACCTTATAGGAAGCCCCATGATTTGAACAAGGCATGGAAGGTTAGTGTTTTGGCTGCAGTTATCAAACATATGTCTCCTGATTTAGGCAGGATGAGGAGGTTGGTGATTAAGTCCAAGAGCTTGCAAAACAAGATGACTGCTAAAGAAACATCTACTTGGTGTAAAGTTGTTAACCAAGAACAAGCCCTTCTCGAGCTCACTCAAAGGGCCCTCAAGATTTCAGAAGAGGAAGATGACAAAGAGGATAATCTTGCTTTTGATGGATCTACTAGTACTTTGAGAAGAAATGACATGAAAAGGAAGTCCAACTTTGAGCACCGTGCCATGAACATGGAACAGGATGTATTTTACGCATGCCAAAACTTGAACTGCGCACAGAGTGGTTTAGGTTTGGGATTTGTGGACAAGAATTCAAGAATCGAACATGAGATAAGCTGTTCCCATCGTGATGATCAGCAACGACTTAATTTGTCCATCAACAGTACTACTTTTTCTAGCTTGATTAATGAGGCACAATTGAAGCCACATGAAGAAAGTATATTCGGTAGAGAAGGGGAGATTATTTTCCAACAAGATTTGATGAACAATATGGAGGTAGAAAGGAGCTCTGTAAACTGCCATACACAAATATCAGACGCGGTTCTGGAGAATTTGAAAAACTTTTGGGGAGACAATAATGTTGTCCTTGAACAGCTGGATTATGATCTGACAACTAATGGGAACATGAACTCAAATGGAACTCCATCACAAGATGTTGATCTAAATCATGACGCTGCAACTTGTATTTGGGATCTGGCTTATGATGATAGATTTAAAGGTTGAAAAATTTAATAGTTGTAGCTAGAGAGATCATCTTGTCATGTTTCAAGATTATCTGCATTTCTTGTTTCGAGAAATAAAGTTATGAACATATATAAAACTTGTGTGTCATAATTTTCTTTTCTTCACCTCTTTTCCTATGTTTCTTTATAGATAATTTATAAAGGGCTTTCTTCAGTTATGGCTATGCTATACTGATCTTGGAAAGGAGCAAATAAAAAGGAGTGCTAATTACGTATTTCAATACTGATATAAGAGGGAGCTAGCACTTTGTTAAGGCTCTCAGGATACACTATAATATTTTAAAGTTGAGTACTTCAGCTATCCAACCAACGGTTGAAGTAGTTAGTAGCGGGGCTAAAGCCGCAGGAATAGTTGGTTTTAAGTTCAAGCTTTACTAGTAAATAGTTGATATCTTAAATTCAAGTTAGATATCTGATGTATTGTAGGTCTAACTTTTATCATTTTAACACGGGTCAGTAAGTTGGTGTGTATCTTGATTTGGTTTATAGTATCTTAATTGTTTGCTCAGTCAGTGAGTAGGTTGTCTGGTGTACTTAATCATGTCAACTAATAGAGAATAGTTAATCGAAAGATCTTGTAAAGAACCCAGACACAAGATACACAGCCAAGCAATGTTTTAACAGAGGAAAATTGAAGGAGAAAAAGAGCGATGCAAGAGATGAATGATAATAAATTGGACATAAAACTTCAACTAGGGGAAAAGATGGAAGATGGCAGTCAACTAGTTACATATTTCCTTCCCGCCAACCTTGAGGTATGAAGTGATTAGAGAACACACCATCAGGTCTGCCACGACGATCATGTCGACCAGGACAAATACTGGCGCACCCGTTGCCACCATCACCTCCTTTAGGCCATATGCAACAATCTATCATTCTTCTTTCCTGTACAGAAACTTGTATAAATGGACAAATACATAGTACTCTGCTACTAACTATGTCGCGATCTGGTTCAAAATGATACACACCTACTTACCGACCCATGTTAAATGATCGTGATATTTAGTAATTTTCATCATCTGGTTCTAAGATTTCATCACCTACTAGCATGAGTGACAGCAAAAGGCAGGAAATATCCAAAATTTATGCAAGTGATACATTAAACCTTCAATGAGAGATACTAAAGAGAAATTTAAGGCAGTTCAGTTTAGGTATACGCACACGAACAATTAAGATGCTGGTGCGTAATCTGTTTCGCTTTTGAACTCTTGTTCATGAACTTTGTATATACCACTTCAATGTTCAATGTAGAGACACCTTTAGTTACAATAAAAGATCACCTTTACTTAAAAGCATTGGATTATCCAGTCGTTCAGCACGAGTTGGAATTACAGTGACAAGAAAATTCCCAAAAGGAGATCATAAAATTGCCAATGCAGGCATTTGTTGTGCTTGAGCGACTGTTCAATTTATACTATACACTTTCTATAGTAGTCTTCCAATAAAGAAAAGAATGATATATTTCTACCATCTAAAATAATTAAACTTTAAACTCTTCATTTTACATATTTTATCCTTAATGAAAATGCTTTATAACCACACAAAAATTTTACCCTTTAAATTTTTAAGACTATAAATTTCAAAAAAAAAAATTCTCGGCAAACTACGTCATCTAAATTAAATTAAAACGGAGGGAGTAATATTAAAGTCTATCATTGTGGGATTCTTTTTAGTCTGTGCAAAGAAGAAATAGAAGAAGTTCCAGAAGAAGCAGGTGTTTGCCGCTTTTGTTGAGTTATATTAGCCGCCTTAAATTCCGTCTTTATTACTCCCTCCTTCCAATTTATGTCTATTATTATACTTTCTTTTTTATTCTGTTTTAGAAAGAACGCTACTTTTTAAAGAAGAAAGCGTAATAATAAATGGGTTTTTTATTTGTACAAAAAATAGTACTTTGAGCTTGTAGCATAAAGAGATTGACAATATTTCTTTATCTTTTGAGTAATTCTTTATCCGGAAAAAAAAAATAAGCTTGCTTCTAATTAGTTATGATTAGTTCATGATCTATTTGAAATAGATGGCAATATTTAGTAATTAATATTTGAATTCAACATTCTTATTTTATTTATAGTAATACTTGCTTATATAAATTACATAACATATTTAACCTAAACGAAATTTTGCTATGCTATAAACTTGTTTAATTTAAATAATAAAATTCAAAAATTCTTGTTTATATGATCTTAAGCTCCATGGCTTGTATACAGTCGAAATCAGGTATGCTCGATTTTCTGGGCTCAAGGGTCGCCTCAAGCCCGAGTTCAGGTAAGGTCGAGTTCGAGCTCGAAGACAGAATGCAATGTCCGAGGATCGAAGTGCGCAAGGAACATCAGAGTCAAGTACAACCGGCTCCGAGACAGTGGCATTATGAGTTTGTTACAGAAGGACAAGATTCCCGCCACGTCCCCAAGATCATGGCGTAAATTCTGGAATAGATTTGTACGAATTAGTACAAACCCATACTAGGCGGTTATACAGTTGTCCCAATAAGATTCTTTGTTGTAAATGGAAATGTACCTTATTTAGGGTTTTCCCTATTATATAGATGTTACGCCCCACAATATTACGTCGATATTACGTGCTGCAGTATTATATTACGATGATGTTACGCCTTGCAGTACTACATTACGATGATGTTACGCTTCGCAGTATTAAATTATGACGATGTTGCACCCTATAGTATTGTACGTTGAATTTGTTAAGGTAATTGACATCAGTCCAAGGAAAAAAATATTTGGAGATTATAAGGATTATGTTATTTCAAACAAGTGATGAGTAAATTCGTGAAGGTGAGAGGGGAAGCAAGTCAAAGAAAATAAATTTTCATCCATGTTTTGCATGTTGGGATAAAATTCTGGCCGAGCATTAATATTCGGTATTTATGGACTAGTACCATACAAGGTACCATATGACCATGATAGTAAGATGTATAAGGTATGTTAAAAGTAGATAGTATTTTAAGTCATTTGAGATAGTTCTTAATTATGTGTATAATTGGTAAATTATTGGTTAGTGGGAGTTTAATTAAAATTTGGATAATTAAAGATTTTAGATAATTTAGCCCTCCCAAAAGCGAGGCAGCATCCCCCATGATTTTTAAAATGACTATTAAGTCTTACATAGGTGGCAAATTTAGGGAATTAAATGGCTTATTCATCTAATAAGTGGGCAACACCCGCTATAAGAACTTTCCTACCACTAGTGCTATGTCTTACTTCCAAATATCAAAAGATCAAAAATTAAAGAGATGAGTTTGAGGGGCTGGTCGAAATTTAATCCCTCAAAGAGCAAATATCCCATATCAAATATTACAATCAAAAGTGACATATGCATTGAGATCAAAAGGTGTATGCCTAGATATCAGATGAGATGAAAAAGGCTAAAATATGGGATTGGAAGAATGATTTTACAATCAATGGGTATGGGAATAATGGTCAGTTATGTGTTTGTGTTTGTTGTGTTTCTTTGTGTTTGGGCAGCCACTAGCTCAAAAGGGGACCAAAAGCTTCATTTGGGTGAAGATACGAATGAAGATTTGTCCAAATTAAACACTGTACTTAGAGGTTGAATGCTATTTAAAGGAGTACGGTACAACCTGTTCCAAGAATATCATACGGATTTTTTCATACTCTAGGTATGTTAAGGCTATCCCTTCTTTCTTTTTGGCATGATCTATATGACACGAACGAAACGAGCAAATGCACAACTTCCATATATGACTCTATTCATAGAAATACTAGAGATGCGTATGTTCTTGATTCCTCATGTGTCATATTATTCTATCATCTGTTCATGAGTCTCAAAAGTACGTAAGTTGGTAAAGTTTATTTCATGGTATTAATCAGAGGCATAATGGTCTTATGACATACCAAGAGATTTTATTAACGTATTTCACACGCATTTCATGCATTTATACATGCACATTGACCCATGACCAGATAGTGTTATATACGCGTATATATATGTACATGGGATATGGGAAAGGTTATGACGTTATATACGCACCACCACCTGATCAGCTGGTATACATTGATGATTTTGCTCACAGTGGCAGAGATGATTTGATGGGATGCCCTCAGAGGCCTGATGATGTTATGAAACATGTACCTATGCTCAACATGATATTCATATGCATATGCATGACACTATAATTATTTCATGATTTACAGAGTTATCCAGACACAGGTTGAGCCATTTACTCTATATTTCTTTCATGTTTGTTTTGTACTTATTTATGTGCCTTACATACTCGGTACATTATTCATACTGACATCCTTTTTGCCTGGGGACGGTGCGTTTCATGCCTGCAGGTCCCGTTAGACAGGTCGAGAGTCCTCCAAGTAGGCAATCAGCTCAGTGGAAGATGTTGGTGCGCTCCATTCGCTCCAGAGTTACTTGTTTGGTCAGTATGTTATAGACGCGTATAGTTTGGTATTTTGTGGCCATGTCCCGGCCTTTATGTTAAGTGTGTACTCTTAGAGGCTTGTATACAGATGTCATGTGTCACGACCCCAAATCGGCCCAGTCGTGATGGCTCCTCTCGTGAAGACAAGGCCAGCCGACACCACACTCACATTAACCCCTTAATCCTTAAGAGTTATTTTTAAGCCTTTAATTAAACAATGTTTCACAATAAAATCCAGAAATAACAGTGCGTAATAAAATATCAGCCCGACATCGGGGTATCACTAGTCATGAGCAACTATCAAGGTCTAAGTATAACAAAAGTCTAAAAATATACTAAACACAGTAACACTAATGAGGGGAAGGAAGCAGTGCTGCGAACATCATGCAGTCACCTTGCTAACTCTGATGACTCCGCGCCTGAGCAATCAACACCCGCTACCGGGTTTCGATATACCTGAATCTGCACACGAGGTGCAGGGAGTAATGTGAGTACTCCAACCTAGTAAGTAATAAGAGTAAATAAAGGCTGAGCAGTAGGAAACAATGAATCCACATTCACGTTAGGCTCAATAAACATAACAGGCTTTCAAAACATAATACGAGTCAATCTTCCC